ATTTTGTTATTTTAATGCGACTAAAGCAGTAATATGCATAATTTGTGCAATTATCTTACCTATAACATTACTTTGAATACTCAAAAATACTGAATTATAAAAGTGAGATATATTTTGTTACCAAAATTCCATTGCGTTCCGGCTACATGGGACGGGAAGAGAAACTTCTTACGGAACGGAATAGTATGTTCAGCTGAGTTAGTTGAATGTAAAAATTGAAACGAATATTCAGAAACCTTTTCTTGGAAATCTACAATGATGGATGAAGAAGTAGTGTTATCTGTAATGCTAAAATTATTTCGAAATGCAAGAAATATGCCAAGTTGGCGTGCCATTCCGGTATTTGAGAAAGTACGAAAATTATATTTCGTTTATAACATTTTATTACAACAGCAAAAGAAAAATACAAGAAAACGAAAATTTTGGATGCGGCCAATGTTTACACAAAGGATGAGGCGTCTCCAAGGCGCAAGTGACAATTTAGTCATTGAAATGCAAACGACCGATCGTGAAAAGTTCTTCAATTACTTTAGAATGACACCAGAATTATTTGATAATTGAACTGCTATCATTAATTGGACCACGTATTGAGAAGCAAGAATTATGTTGAGTCCCAATTTCATCTCGTACAAGATTGCAACTGACTTTACGCTAGTTTAAATAGCCGGATCGACATAGCTTGCAACCACATGCAATCGACATGACATTCCGTTGATTCGGTACTATTCCGGCCATGGTTCCGGTGGTTCCGATACAGCAGCGAAACTTCTTAAGCCTTGTGTCCACGATGCTAGAAATTGGTCCGAGATCTCGGAGAGAGAAAGAATTAACCAATCACATTTAAATAATTTAGTCACATGATCAATGCGATTGGTCAATTCTTTCTTCATCCGAGATCTCGGACGGATTTCTAGCATCGTGGACACTGGGCTTTACGGAACAAAATTCTAGTGAACTATTTCTAGAAAGAAATCCGTTCCGTCGTTCCGATTCCGTGTACATGGGACAACACCCTAACTCACTGCCAGTACTGGCAGCACTGTAAAACCTGTTCCAAAATTCATCACAGTAAAGGCCATCATGCGTGGTCTACAATGGGCAGTAGCAGTAGTGGATTAAGGAGTAGACGCAGAAATCAACCAATCATAATTGAATGTGAGAAAGATAATCAACTACGATTAGTCGATTTCTGCACCTACTCCTTAATTCACTACTGCTACTGCCCATTGTAGACCACGCATCACACGTACAAAAATTTTAGTCGTAATCGTAAGGCCGTAAGCAAATCAGTCAATCACAGTCGAGCGTTTTGAAACGCGAGATCGTAATTTTGATTGTGATTGGTTGATTTGCTTGCGATCTTACGATTACGATCAAAATTTTTGTACGTGTGGTGGCCTCAAGCTGGTTCTACATTGATCGCATCGCAGCGTCGCAAGTGTGTCGCAAGCGTTGCAGTCCAATCAGAGTCGAGCTAACTTGACGTTGATTGGACCGCAACGCTTGCGACGCTGCGATGCGACTAATGTAGAACCAGCTTTAAGCTACGATAGCACTGCGATGGAATAATGACGTCATAGATTTTGTCGTCACTTCCTACTGTGGCTACTGCGGGTGGAAAGATGCAGCAGTCAGGGTGTCATTACATAAGCGCGGAAACA